TCTCAGGGCCACCAAGTTCTGATTAATTCACTTGGCTTTTCTTTGTTTTCATTCCACTGTCGTTTACTAATGTCGAATTGCTCTGACCCTTGGCGGCAACGGCAGAGCATGAAGTATGCATACTAGGAAGACTGCCAATGTTAGCCGTTCATTAGTAACAGCAGCCTATTAGTCCCGCCCTTTATTATCTACTCCTGACGATACAAATATCTGTAAATTTTACATATAAGTTTCACGGGTCTAGGACCCAAGGAAAAATAATCATGATCTGAAATGCAATTAATAAACTTTTCTTTAATGTTATGAAACCTATTCACTACACAAATGCTTGCTCCCACGTATAAGGCCGTGTAGCGTCTGTCGATAAATATACAAATTTATTTATCTATATGTACAGATGATCAGTGACTGGCATTAATAGTGCCAGTACAATGATACTTTTTTACGCAACCGCACCACTGTTACACGACGCCTGTAGTGCTATGGACGGATGTTTTGGTGACCTTGCAATAAGAGACATATGTGGGATAATGCAGGCACCGGCACAGCATGCATGTACTGTTATTTTTAGAAACCAACGTTACAGAAATTTTTGGTGCAAATGTAATGAAACTTAGGTAAGATAATATATGCACCTGCAAAGGATTCATATGCCCTTGCGAATGTATGATTCATAAATGGCATTAATGTTGCCAGTGCACAGACCTGTGTAGGCTACTGTTTCACCGGTACACCAGGCCTCTGCTGATATGCGTAGAGGCTCCGAGACCTACATCATTGCTGCTAGTGAAAAGAGACCTATGTAGGCTACAATGTCGCCACTGCACCAGGTCTGTGCTGATATGTATATAGGGGCTCCGAAATCTACATTCTTAATGATAGTGCTGAGAGACCTATGTACCTTGTGAAGCCGTAGTGCTCTCAAGCTTCTCAATTTCCGTTTCCATCCTGGCCTCTGGCTCATCTCCGCGTCATCCCAAATGTCATCCACTAGGCTTGTGGTGCTCCATGGCCCATAACCATCTAACCTGCCAACATGTTCATCCCTTCATCACATGCATGAGGTGACTGTGGACTTGCATTGTCATCACTACACTCAACATGTGTGCATTGTCAGCTTTGCAAAACTAGTGAGGCCGTGCGGACTGCAGTTTGCGTTTCCCTCCTCAGCTTACAGTTGTAGTGACATATCGAAGTCCTGGAAGTATCTCCCGGGAGGGTATTGATTACATTCGTACTGACACAGCCAATAGCTGTCTATTTAATACCTAGTGACTTTAACCTACCTGAAGTCTGCTACGCTGATCACATTATGATACGAAGGACATTGGAGCAGCCTCTTGGATAGATCGTACCGGTAAATACCTACTCAGGAAGTGCCCTAAGTGCTGCCGAACTTACCAAACGTCTCCTAAAATAAGCGAAGAAATTCTTCAAATCTGCCGAAGCTCCATCAGCCAATTTCTTTTCATACATCAGCCAAGCTTTAATTAAGTATTGTTTACACCTATTTCTGGCCTCGCGGTACTATCATAGGTGCTAGTTGATGGAGCCACACGGTAGGTCCCCCAGCACCAAGAACGCTTCTGGAGCAGGTACTTGCCAGTAGTATCTATCCACGGCGGCCGCGCTCGTGTCTCCTTTCTCCTCGCCAACGGGATGTAGGGAGCAGACACTTCCGTATCAACCACCGAGATTTTGCAACGCAACCCGGAAGCCTTGATACGCATTGCCTGATAGTTAGCACGCCATATGTTTGAAAATGGTTTAGCCATGCTCTGGTGACGCCTGGTCAGAATACACCTGAACGATAAACAAACATGATCACTAGCACCTAAGGGAGAGCTGTAAGTTATGTCACCAACGAAGTCTAGTGACCTGACAAACACTAGATCCAAAATAGACGGGAGTTGGCATCCATGTAGCTAGTGAGGAGGTCCACGAACTGATGCAACGGTACTTGTAGCGTAAGCTCAAGTAGATCTGCCCCGAAAGTACCTTCTGCCGAGTTACAAAAAGATCTGCCCAGCAAATTTCTGGTAGATTGAAATCCCCCAGTAGCAAACACCTGTTTGCGGATTGGGAGCGAATAAAGTCAAGCACCTCTTTGGACGCACTCCCAGGGCCTCTATACACAAGCACAACTGTAAGCTGAGCTGAGGAAGTGCTAATCACTACCGACAGAGCTTCGACAGTTTTATCTGCCGACTGAAACATGTAGGTACGTAAAACGTCAAGTTCACACCTAACGTAAAGCGCAACGCCCCCGCCTTGTCGATGTCAGTGCTTAGTACTGTGGTACCGTGTTGCATCCATTAGCATCATTTAATGAAAGTTCTTTATTAAAACTACTTCTCCCAAAGTGTATATCTATTTCATTATCAACCACCAACGTACAGCATACATTCCCTTTACATTTACAGATAGCTCGATGTATTCAGCTCATGACGACGGTTAATTTTCTAACTGTTAGTGCAATTAATCCCTGAGTTCAATGAGTAGTAGAGAGCAGAAGAGAGGCCCTGTGACAGCTCCTTCACTTCGTCGTGAACCGGTATATCTATCTGTGGCTAAGCAGCTGGTGTACTACTTCCATTACTTGACATTTTACTGTTACTTGCCACCCTCTATTACCCACTTAAGTATCATAATACGACCACAGAAATTTCCAGAATATCGATCAAAATCTTCTTCTCCATGCGAAAAGGATCCTACCGATATGCGTCAATGAATCGACAATCATTTTGACTGTCAATAAGCTACTCCCAGTCGCCAGAGAAATACCAGCTTATTGCTTCGTATTCCAATGAAGGAACAATGAAATTGCGTGATTTTTACCCACCAGATAGTAACTCATCGTCCTTCTCATTTAGAGAGCGTCGGATTAATCGAAAACAGCTGATCGTAATTTGGGGTGGTACTGTTTGCTGTACTGGCTGTTGGGGAGGAATATGATGAAATATGTTGTTAAGGCTTGATAAGGGTTTATTAAAGGTATATTGATTTAGGGGAACTGAAAATGGTGGTGCACTATTTTACGATTTATGAAACGGTGGTTGTTTTAGTGTGCAGGTGTTGTTTCGGTTTCGTTGCAATGGCTGTGGATGATACTATGGCATTCTGCGCTTCTTTTCGCTAATATTATAAGGCGCTTGGTGAATTCGAGGAAAATTTGCGGCGGTTTCAAGTTCAGACGGCGACGAGTTTTTACAAATATGACGTATTGACCGCTGTGTCGTATAAGAAGAGGTCAGGTCAAGAGCTACCCGACGGGATGCGGTACAAATGGGTGCAATATCGTTGTGTCCATTGCAACCGGAAAGGAGAAGGCGGTGGTCGGCAAGGGCAAACGTTGTAATATGTGTAACTCATGTTGCATAGGTGTGCCAGCCTCGGTTGTAAAGCGAGCATATCCATCAATGCAAAGGGCATTCACTATGAGATAGGCTCGCATTGTTTGGTGCATAATCATAATTTTCACTTAGGGAATCCAAGTTTGTATGTGGGTAACCGGCGCCTAACTCCCGAGGCGAAGCGGCAGGTGTGTGAGCTAATCTAGTTCTTCCGTAATACCGAAGAATTGCGAGACTATGTGTTGGAAAGATATAACAAACGATTGAATCGACAGGATCTCTTTTGCATCCGCCATCGCTTAGGTGGGACATCGAAGGAGAACGATGTAAACGCGGTTGCGGAATTGTTGAGTAAGAATGGCGCTGTGCGTGTAGAAAGAGATGGGTCGCAGGTGCGATTCCTATTTTTCGTTCTTGCATCAATGACTTCCATAGTGGCGAAATACGGGGACGTGCTTCTTGCAGAAGTCACGCATCAGGTGGACTGCGGTGATTACGTTCTTCGGCACTGCATGGTGATTGACGGTTGCGGCGTAGGTCGCAGCGTGTTTTACGTTTTAATGCCCAACGAGACGGCATGCAGTTACTTGGAGGTTGCTCGGGGTATGTCAGAAATTTTGCCCACCACTTTGTCAGCAAAGACTATAGTCATGGATAGGTGCATGGGGCAAATGAAGACATTTAAGTCGGCTGAACATCGCAGAGGCTCAGGTTAGGTTTGAGTCCCATTTGGATACACGCTTTCCATCTAAGTGGGTCAAGTGGAGGAAAATAGAGGTCGCAGTCGCAGTAGGTAAGCGGAAAATTTGTAAGGTGACTTACGGAAAGGTGCAAACTCTCTACCGTAGGACGTTGGTCAAAGACGCAGCAGGCAGTACACTGGATGGAACTTGGAAAGACATTTACAAGATGTCGGACAAGTTATGCGACGGTGGCCAGCAGTACTGGCGGAACACTTTTAATACTCCAGGCTCGGTGGGCACAAGACCGCCCCCGGATGTGGTTCAGAATTAGGACTTAATCTCTGAAATCACCATCGCGGAAATCCAAGATGCACTCAAGGGCTCGAACACCACAAGCCCAGGACCAGATGCCGTGACCACTCTAGAGCTAAGGCGTATGAACATCAGTGTGTTAGCGCAGGTCTTCAACCTGATGCTTGTGCTCCAGATCCCTACTAAGGCTGCCTCGTCAGACCGTATATCTTTCATACCCAAGGTAGTCAAGCCGGAACACCCAAACGAATACCGACGGTTAGCTGTGGCTTCAGTGCTACTCCGGACGTGCCACAAGATCTTGGCGCGTCGTTGGAGACCAAGTATGAAGCCACCATCGCTTCAGGTAGCATTCCAGAAGCGGGATGGGTGTCTAGAGGCTACCTACGCCTTGCACTGTTTGTTGCGTCGAAAGCAGATGTGCAGTTCGGATGCAGCGGTTGCGTTCTTGGACGTAGCCAAAGCGTTTGATACTGTTTCGTTTGACTCGGTGCTTCAGGCGGAGCAGAGCCAGGGTGCACCTGGGCACCTACTGCGATATCTGGACTAACTGTACACAACATCCGAAGTACTGTTGGAGGGTGAGCGCCTTAAGTGCGGTAGGGGAGTGAGGCAAGGGGATCCACTGTCTCCTCTACTCTTCATTATGACTATGGACGAGGTCGTTGCGGCTTCAGGACAGGCGCGCGGGGAATCTGCTGTGGCTGACGATCCGAACGGAGCGTTGGCCTATGCAGATGATCTGGTGCTAGTGGCTAACTCACCCTCAGAACTACAAGCTAAACTGAAAGTCCTAACTAAGGGAATACCAGAGGCTTGTATGACACTGAACATCGCCAAGTGCCGGTCTATGACAATCAGGAAGCTAGTCGTATTGGAGCCTCACTCCTATAAGATCGGAGGAGAAGTAATACCGCCAATGTTGCCCGGCGAGGAGGTTCGCTACCTCGGTTTGTCATTTACCTGGAAGGGACGGAAACCTCCTAAGACCACAGCTAAGCTGGAGACAATGATAGGAAAGATAAGTAAGGCGCCAATGAAGCCCCAGCAACGAATTCGAGTTCTGGGTGATTTTGACTTGAAGAAAAGTGAGTATGAGATGGTACTAGGTAACGCGCACCGGAACACCATGAAGGCAGCGGATGTGATGGTTCGAGAAGCAATCCGGCGATGGCTTAGACTACCGAAGGACACCTCAATGGCCTTCCTTTATGTTAGCTCAGCGGATGGAGGTATGAGTGTGCCGCAGATGGGGAAAACTACACCCTTGGCGCAACGATAGAAGTGGCGAAGGCTACTCACGTCTCCGGACGAGTGGATTAAAAGCCTAGCCACGGATGACGCAGTCCTAGTAGACAAACGGGTAGCTATCCTACCTATAAGAGTTAGAAACACCGAGGTAGGTAACAGAGCGAAGGCTGTCCAAGCTTGGAGGTCTCAGTACACCGAGATGCTGGACCTCAAAGGAGTTCGTATGGACCTAATGGACAATTCGAGTATCCTTTGGGTCCGTCATCCTGAGAGGGTCTTCAACCGTCTTTACATCAGGAGCATTAAGCTTAGGGCAGGAGTATTACCATCATAAGTGCGTAGTAGTAGGGGCGCATCCCGTAAGGCTGGAGCTTCTTCCAAGTGTCGAGGGCTATGTGGGTACCCGGAATCGGTCACTCACCTCCTGCAGAAGTGTGCAATCACGCATGACGCCTGATGTGCACGGCACAACCGTGTAGCTCGGAAGATAGCCACTTTAGTACGTAAGCGGGGGTTGCAAGAACTGCAGCAGCCTATAGTAGGTAAGGATAAGAGCTACTGCAAGCCACACCTTGTCAATGCTTCTCGGTAAGAAGTCTTAGTAATGGATGTAGCAGTTACCATAGGTCCGAAAGTAGAGCGTATGTGGGTGCAGAAGGTTTAGATGTACAACACTGCTGAAGTTAACCATTAGTTGCTAGCTCTAATGAAGGGTAGCCAGCCAGTACCTAGAGGAGATAAGCACATAACCTGGATTTTCACCGAGCGTGGCTACCTGTACAGGCCTTCTGCAGACGGCTTACGGAAGTTAGGTTTAACATCACGAGATTTGTCTGATTTATGCCTCCAAGTCATCCAAGGCTCCTTAACTTGTTATGATGTGTACCATCGAGGAACGTAACCCTGCTTGCTTTACTGATCCCTCACGCTCTCTCTAAGCACTTTACAGGATCTATGAAACGATGATGGTAACTGCTCCGGCAGGGGGATCACCGCAGATGACCACCCGGTGGAGAACGTTGGCGACTCGCAATCGCCTTGAAGTGCATAGTACGGGAGAAAGCAAACAAAGCATCTAGATGAGATACCAAACGAGAGGTTCCCCTAAAACCATTTGACGCGAGACCTTTGGATTGACAACAGTAAGCTGCTGAAATTATCACCAAACTCTTACTTACTCCGCTAAAGCAAACTCATGCTTTAACAATTGCAAACTCTTGCATTCAGACAGCCTCCAGACAAATTGAGCAGTGCATTCTTTTTCCTTATTTTGACCGGAAACTGGCACACCACCTGAGAGAGCGCGGAAGTATAGGAAAACCCCTTCAGGGGGGAATACCCGTGCAGAAGCAATCAATCCCGGGGTCATGCTCGGTCATGGTCCTCTTACTTCACTCCTTACATTACAGTGTGTACCTTCTCTTCGCATGCCTGTATTGTACCGTACATGCCTTCGATAATATACCATTTCAATAAGTGATGTTTCATGCTGTACTGATAAGTGTTGCAAGCAGATACAGGGACTTTGCTTGTTTCGCTCGATTTCCGTTCATTTTAAAGGGTCTGTGTTATGAGCGTGGGGAATGTAACTTGGAGCACAGCCATGATTTTCAAGTTGGGAATCCCTAGCTGTATGTCTGCAACAGACGATTGACTGAGACGCAAGAGTTGGAGGTTGCAAGTCTAATGTATAGTTTTAAAGGCAATCTTGAGCTTCACGCGCACGTTTTCCGGCATTACGATTGGTGGCTAAACCTAAACGACTTGCTGTCGATAAAGAGGAGACATGTGAAACAGAAACCTGATAAGGTTCTTGAGGTTACGGAGTCACTGGGAAAGAATGGAAATTGCCACGTGCTGCTCGAAGGGGATCACATTCGTGTGTTGCTCTTTGTGCCTTGTAGCATGTTGCCAATGGTAGAACGATATGGAGAAGTGATTTTGTCGGATGCCACACATCAGTTAAGTTACGCCGGCAACGTGCTACTACACTGTATGTTTGTGAACATGACACAGGTGGCGTTTTCCTTTTGCTACGCCTTGATGTCAAATGAGACGGCTGCTAGCTACAGGGAGGCTATACAAGCAATGCGCGAGATGGTACCAAGTATCGCCACTGTGCAGACACTCGTGACGGAGAACTGCTTCGCACAAGTCGGAGTCTTCAGATTTGTGTATCCTGATGCGACGGTGGTATTTTGCCCATTTCACGTTACCCGGGACATGAGTAGGTGCTGTTCCCAGCTGGTTGGAGCGACTGCAGTTGTTAGAAGTCGGTTACGCCAATAATTGCGAAATTTGGTGTACACTCGGAATTCGAGGCAGTTCGAAAGGATTTTGCGTGCAATCCAGTCCATGACTACATAATGTCACGATTACCTACGCGGAACAGGGCTTTGGTGTACCTCGTCGTGGGCTGCGCACCGGCAGATGTTACTTTGCATGTTCAGCTGCGCAACGATCAATAGGGTGGAAAATGAGAACAAACTTTTAAAGAGGCGACTAAGCAAGAAGTCATCACTGAAGATGCTATTCAACGTGGTCGTAGAACGTGTCAATGCGTGCATACAGCAGCGTTCACTGGCCCTGGGTAGGCATATCATGACACCGTACGTTCCCCCTGTGAGTGTGTTCACCGCTGCGGACATTCTTGTTCGCTTGATGCCATTTGCACTTGGTCGTTTTCTTCGACATTAGCAGACTGTCAGCATAAGCGATGCCTACCTGCGTGGTCCTTTGTGGATATTTCGTTGCGTGAGGGGTAGTAGTAGTAGTAGTATACTTGTAGTAGTATGCTACAAGGGTGCCGCAGACGGCACTGTCTATATACCTCAGGGTTATGGTTAGGGTTAATAATGCCAGTCCATGCGCCGCTCAAAACGGTATAAACTATCCCTATACCCAGGCGGAGGCATCATGCCAGTCCACCACGCCTGTCCGCTATTGGCTAAAATTAGGTTCAGGGTTAACCAGCCCTACCCACCCTACCATTGGAATTCAAATCATACACCCAGACAAAACACCAAGCTAATCTAGGTGCGTTCTCCCCGAGAACCGGTGCACCACCGCGCTACTCACATGACTAGCTGGCTCTTTTTCAACCATGTCCAATATCCGGTTCAAACCCTGGAAGCGACGTACCAAGCAACTCAAACTCAGACAAGGTTATCTGAGTCACGCATGTCTCACCCAACAAAAGTCACATGCGTGCACCGCAAAACTCAGTCAATGGCTGACCGCTGCCACTGCTGCTTGATCACCTGGAACAACCCTACCGTGAGCGATGAACAATTACGGGTATTATTGGAAACGGCTGGAGTCCAGTACACCTTCCAAGAAGAAACAGGACTCCAGCAAACAAGACATTTTCAACTGTTCATCAGATTCCCCAACGCGGTCAGAGCAAGCACGGTTTGGCAGCTTCTTCCCGGCTCCCATGTCGAACGCGCAGCCAATCCCTTGGCTGCAGAGCGATACTGCAGAAAAGACCAGTCAAGAACTCGAGGACCCTGGACCAACATCACCGAAACGTCCTCGCATCGAAGCGCCACAATCCCCGACGAACGAAAGTTCATCGAAGACATCCGCAGGGGTGACAACATCTTCATCCGATGTCTTCAATATCCAAAATTGTTCCTACGTTATTATACAAACGCAAGGCGACTTGTCAGTCTACTCAGGCCGAGAACTGATCGCAGGGAGAAAACCTTCGTTGAATGGCACCATGGCGAACCCGGCAAAGGGAAATCCACCTACTGCCTAATGGAATGTGACAAATGTACTACCTACTATTGGAGAAACCCTACACAATGGTGGGATGGATACGAGGGGCAGGAACTGGTAGTCATTGATGACTACGACGGTCAATGGCCCTTACAAGACCTATTTGACGAATTCCCACACAATGTCAACTGCAAGGGTTACACGGTGGATTTCCTTTCGAAACGACTCCTCGTTACCTCAAACTTCCATCCCCTTACCTACTACCCCTTAGAACGTGAATTTCGTAAAACCGCACTTAGTAGACGTATAGATGTTATTAAAGTATATAATTAATTTACAACGCATGTCTTCTTTATTGTCCTATTGCCAAGGCCGCTGACGGTAAGCGGCGATCGCGATACTGAACGTAGCACGTAACGTATAGGGTGCCCACAGATGGGCACCACTTCCGAAAGTCCGCGCTCATATTTATGAACTGTAAGAAAAACGCAGCATGCGGCTGCGTTACATCCGACAGCCAAGGATTCCGTCTCGCTAAGGGAGCTCCACCGCTCACTCAAAGAGTTTTGCGTGAAACCGCGAAATCACGATGAACAACGAACTCGCGATAGAATCCTTTAATTCGTACGCAAGCCAATTCGTTACAATCGCCGTACTCTCCGGGATAACGTAAGCCGCATAGTCCTAGCCGAACGCAACACTTATTATATTGACTAAGAGATAACGTTCCTCCGCGTAAATCGCTACGAAACCGAATATTTATTCCTCTGATACGGTAGCGCTCATACATAGACAGCATAGCTGTCGCCTGAGGCATGTAATCCAACCTGGGTACCACCTCAAACAGAGGCTTATTTGTCTCCATAGCCATCTTATAAATAAACTTATGGCATACAAAGCGACGTCCTCTTCGTTCGCGAAACCGCACACGATGTCCTCTACGAAACCGGCGTCTATACAGACGCCTCCGAATCCGATAGAACCTTGAACCTCGCCGCAACCGACGTCTTACAGCGCGTCTCATGCTCCTGCAATACGTACTCCCTGAACTCCAACAGCTGGCTAATCAACAAATTCAGATGATCCAATATCGCTTCCAAAGTCTTCTTCACTTGTGGAGAGCAACAACGACTCTTACAAGCAACGTAATGCTTCTTCCAACGACCTATCTGCGTAAACAGCTGCTCCTTAACTCAGACTTGTGAGTTGATGATCGCAATTTCCCATCGCCTTTCGAAATTGACTGAACAACAAATTATGTCCCTGAGCCAAACTACGTCGATGATCAAATCTGGTCTCACTTTCTTC